AAAGATTACATTGAAGCAAGAATATTGATGCTGCACCAAAAAAAAAAAAGTTAAAAACAGAACTTTATTTTCAAATCTTAGAAAACAGATCAAAGCTACATTTGGATGACAAACGCACACTTTCAATGTGCCTCGAGTATCACTAAAGCTGTTCTGGATTTGAGGAGACATTGCAAGCTGCTTGAGTCATCCACTATATGGGTCACTAACACCTAAAATTACAGGCGACAGGAAACTTGAATCTACAATTGACTGATACAACGCTGACATTGGGCGGAATCTTCCTAACTCCAAAATCCTCAGTTTTCAGGAGAATCCCTAAAACAAATGTTTGTTCAATCATTAACATTGCATCTTCAAAGAGCACGAGCCATTTTCAATGCTTGAGATTGGTTAAAAAGAACACCCACACATATGGACTGACCAATGAGTAGAGATTTGTGAAACAATGGTGACATTTACCAAATTGTGATGTAGGAGGTTCCGCCCCGACGCCAGCGATATGCATAAACAGTTCAAGAAGATCCTTTAAAATGTTCCAGTTCAGCGCTCAGCTGTTGGCCTTGGAGTCCATGTTCTTGAGGCACCAGGCTGAATTTGAGCTGCCATGAAATTTGGCGCGCGTAGTGTTTTTGGCTGCGCCCCGTCAGAGCGTCTGCACGATGACGGGATACAGAAGGGACATGTGCTCGGCCCCTCGGATTGGCAGTTTGTGTGTGCTATAGTAGTGGATGACCTCCGGGATGGTGGCAAAGGGGGGGCTGTTCTCACCCAGCACAAAGCAGCCGTCGGCGGAGCGCGTGAACTTCATGTGCATGAAGCCCTTGCAACTCCTGGAAGACAGAACGACAAGAGTCAAACTGGACCCAGTGAACAGTGGGACCTCTCTTTTTCGAAAGAGGCTCCGTTTCTGTGTGTGGATATGCGTAGAAACCTGAGCGAGAGAGAAAAGTCGTTGCAGGAGGTCTGGCTGTTCCTCACTAGGTAGGAGCTCTCCTTGCACAGGGTCAGCAGAGTCTCTGCCTCGGAGCGGTTTAGGGCTCCATGGTACCACCTGCACATGGATTTTTTGGGGGGAGGGGTGGGGGGAATAAAACGTGCATTGTGTTCTGATATATTTTTTTGATGATAAGATGCACAGCAGGTCACATTGGCCCAGTGACATTGCTGGCAAGATACAAAGACAACAGGTGGGTTAATTAACCCCCCCCCACCAAAAAAAAAAATCAAGTAAAACAAAAATAAACCCAGCAGCAAATTTATCATTAAAAAAAATTAGTTTTTTCCCCCTAATCCAGGAATACAACAGAAGAGTTAATAATTTAAAAAAAAAAGAAACCGCTCAATTAAAAAACAATTTAAAAAATATGTAACAAAAATATATTTAAAAAAAATAACCCCAACAGATTAATTTAAAAAATTACCCCCCCCCAAAAAAAATGTACAGCCAATACAATAACTTGTCATGTCAATTTGACCTGCAATATAACACGAGGGTTAATCACTATAAAGGACGCATATTTAAAAAATAATTTCAAGCTTAAAAAAAAAAACCAAAGCCGGCAGAAAAACGATACAAAAAAATGCAAGTTGAAAAATCTACGGGTCAATTTGAGCCACAGTCCAACAGGAGAGTTAAATGATAGACATTTGTGATTGAAAGGTGTTGACGTGATGCCTCACACTTGTTTTTCTAGCGGCAGGAAGGGGTCCACTCTCTCTCCGAAGAGGGGGAGCGCGTCACAAACCAGACGCAGGGTGTTGGAGTCCGCTGCCGCCGCAGCCGATGTATTAGCGAGCCTGCTGTGCTCTGTTTGGACGCGCGAACGCTCCCGCTCAGCACCCTTGAACTGAACTATGGACAACAAGCAAGAAGTGGCAGCTTAGTCGTCACATTTAAACCAGGCTCCAATTTCGGCTACATCAAGTGACCCAAGACCCATTCAAATATTTACAATATGTTGGTTTAATTGACATTACTCTGATGTAATTAGTATTCCAAAAATAAATACATGTGCATTACAAAAAAGGTTCGTTGCTTTTTGAGAACGCTGGAACTGGCGAATGGCATTTCCACCAATTTAATTGAACGTTTTGGACAGCGCCCCGCGGTTAAGAATCACTTCAGAGATTTGAGACGCACCGGCGAGCGCCTTGGAGATGTCGTCCTTCTTCCACTCCCACGGCTGGTCGTACTCATCGGCTGGCCTTTCGTCATTCTGGGGCAGCCGGCTCTCCCTATCGTCCACGGGCGTAAGTGCGCCGTCGAGCCTGTGGTGGCGTTGATGCTGCTGTTGCGTCGGTGCCGTCGGAGCCACGCGGCCATGCTGTCGGGTCCTTTCCTCGTACGGGCTGTCGTATAGCTGGTTGCCACTGGCGCTCGTGCACTTGTTGCGCTGCATTTCTGGAGAGACAAAGACACGAGCTTCTTTTGGCTGCTTCCCTATATGGAAACACTTCACCATATTGCAACATGTATCGATGTATGTCTGTAAATGTACAGTCATTTCAAGAACAACACCTGAAATAATCTGCTGAGCCTCAAAAGGCTCCATGTAGCTACAGCTGTCTGACGGTGTCGATTCGTGCTCCAAGCCGGTCTGCGTCTTTGCGTCTGGGCGGGCGTCGAAGGGGTCCGAGTAGTCCGTGTCGGCGTCCGGTGCTACCGGGGCAGAGGGCAGCACCTGGGCCAAAAATCAAAGGACAAAGGGCAAATTGAGATTTATTTGAGTGCGGGTGCAAAAGCGGACGAGGGGGTGGTCTTACGGGCTCCTCTTGAACAGTGACGGGACTCAGGGGAATCTTACAATGGCCAAACTCCTGAGACTCCACTTTAATTAGTCTGTGTTTGGGAGACAACAATTTCACCTGCAAACAACACACTTAATCAATCACATGCATTTTTATTCAATAGTCTTTTTGTAATAACATTCATAGCTCTGGGTTTTTTTTAACCACTGAATTATGAAAAAAACTGCACAAGTATGATTTGACAAAGCGCATTGTGGGGTGGATGTCCATAATTTGCGGATTTTCCTGAATCACTGGATTAAAAAAAAAACAAAACGAAAATTGTGTGCCGTACCTCTGCACCAGTAGACAGGCTGGGGCAAAAGGAAGGGAATGGAGGCAGGCTTATATCCACGCTTCCGTAGCCGCCGCCATTTCGGTGCTCCTTGTCCGAGCACTGGTATGGATCCTCAAAGTCCAGCTCCTTTTGAGCTCGGTAGGCCCGCAGGATCTCACTCTCGCTGTAGTCTGGTCTCGGAGGTTGCGGGGGGTCACGCCGGTTACCAAAGTTTAGGTAGTCCTTCAGCCACTTTGCCATGGATCTGGAAATAAGAATGTACTGTTTATTATCGTGCATTTTAATTCCTTATTGTGGGAAATATTTGTATTGATTTTCATTGATCAATAAAAGTGTAGGAGCGTCAGAGGCCACATCGGTGGACTGTTTTGGCTGTGAATCCATATTAAAGTATGATCGCCTCATTTTACATAATCACAAAAATGGATTAATCACTAGTTTTGAAATGAGAGGCTAGTGAAAACTGTTGAAAATATGATTACATTTATTTGCTCACAATATCTCAAACTTTTTTTTTTTTTTTTTTAAAGGGAAGACAAATTTCAATTACGGTATTTTAGAAAGAATGAAATCAAGTCGATTGACGTGATTTGCTTTGGTGGGACACATAAAATGATGTGGCGGACCGGATCTGGCCCCCGGGTTTTAACTTTGACACCTGTGCTTCAGGGCATTTTTCTATATCTTTTCATGACGACTCATATTGAAGTCTACCGGCGTCCTAATAGTCACTCCATGGACGTTTTGTTGTTGTTTTTGTTTGGTCGAAAAACACACCTGAATGCTTTTGGGGATGCATTTTACGATTTGGGAGAGAATCCGAAAACGAGTTAGCCTGCTAACTTACGGTAGCGAGCATGCTCGTTAAATGTATTGACGCGCGGATTCGGTGGCGATCAGATAAAGACGACCCGAAAATACGTACTGAAAGTATCGTTGAAAAGCGTGACGTATTAACGCCGAACTTGAAGGCGAGCGAGACATTTAACTAGTTAGCTCCGCTCCAGCTAAGCTAAGCTAAGAGTTGACTTGTTTGAAAAGCTCACCCTCCTTCTTCCCGTTGACGGCTGCTCTCCGTTTACTTTACACGGCCCACCTCTTCCATCCGCTGTTTCTTTTGGGACGCTTTTAAGTCAGAAAAGGCAAGGTTCGTAGGGTCTGCAGCACTCGTCATTGATGGGCTTACGGTTAGCCAGCAAGCTAACGTTAGCCTGGCCACAGCGGTCCCTTGTGGAGACCGACAACACGCCCCGCGGCCGCCGGCTGAATAGGTGAGGCGTGACGTCACACACTGTGCATTTGCCCTCTCCATTTTTTTGCCGGACGTTTTCGTAAAAATTGTAGATCAAGAATTATGAACATATGTTAATGTGTATCAAGAGGTTTCGCTGCATCAAAAAATGTTGTTCCGCATGAATTAGTTCCAGAAAATGATGTTGGGTTTATGAATACATTCCCCCACAGCCGTGGCTCAACATTTAAATAACCTTTATCAGATTTGATGGTGAAATCACAGACATTTCCAAAAAGCACCATCTTTCTTTTTCATAACCACGGCAATGAAAATGAAACCCATCTCGCCATTGCCCCAGCACTTTGTGGGAAGTGGGATGAGGGCTTGCTCATTGCATGGAAGGTCCGCCCCTAAAACAAACAGATTTCATTGTGGCAAGAAAGATGCAATCCAAATATTTTTTAATAATTCTTGATCCTTTATAGTATTTTTACAAAAGCACCCTGCAAACATGTTTTCAATGATAATGTGTCTTTCTAAGTTTTACATGTCACAATTTAAAGCCTAAAATTGACTTCCACTTAATTGTAAGGAAGGCAAATATCTTGCATGCACCTATAAATATTTAAGACTAAACATTGAGTGTTGTTCGTTCACAAGAATTCAAAAAAACTTCAATTACAGTCAAAGATGATTTATTTCAACACTAAAACATATTTAATGAATGGCATTGTGTCACAGGTGCACAGATGCATGTTCACCCTCATTCGCTGTCACTGCTCTCACTGTCTGAATAAGCACCGAGCAGGCTGAGCGACGACGATCCATTCGGGGCAGCCGTACAAGGAGTTGAAAGGTTAGCCGTGCCGCTAACTGGGGGCGACTTTTTGTCTGTAAAGAGAAAATATATTCTTTTATTTTTGGTTCATTGGAAAAATAGTTTGGTGACCCAAATCCCACGGCTGACGAATGGCATAAATGACCACCCCATACCCAAAACAGTTCCAAAAATCCCTTCTAGGTCGGGACTTGAGTTCTAGTCTCTATTCTTAAAAAAAAGCTGTTTTGTGACAAAATGTGCATTTTCATGGAAGAATAAAGCGGCTTTGTGATCACTTACTAATAAAGCCTGGACCGTTAACTGTTCGTGAGCTCGCGGCAGTGGTCTTGACTGCCGTTTTCTTGCGTACGACGAGTGATCCGAGAGCGCCACCTGCACCCAGCGTGCCCACACTCTTCTCCCAGCTCTCCATCTTGGCCTTTTTCGCCGTGACGGTCCCCTGTGACACAACAAGAACCATTTCTCTGACAGTTGTCAAAAAATGGCAACTTCTACAGGAAATGTGAATGTTGCCAAAGGCCAAATTCTCAAGTCTGCAAGTCATTTCTGTCTGGCTGTTATGAGCAAGAAATATTTACGCCACGTTGAAAATGTTAAAATAACAAATGAATTCTGACGTACGATAAATGTACATGAGAACCAAAAAACAAAAGGGATAGCATATCTTCTTTCTGTGATCTCTCCTTTTTTCCCCTTCCACAAATAGTGATGATTGTATATTTTTTGTAACGTCCTATGAAGAGTTTTTTTTCTAGTTTTCTAATTTTTATAAACTTTCAAAAAACGTTTTCCACATAGAATGGGGTGAAAAAATGCCAGAAACCCCAAAAAATAAAGATACCCGAAATATTTCAACATTTATTTTCTTTTTGAATGAAAACAGGCAAACCGTGAACATGCGTGGGGGCAACTGCTCCTCATAGCCCTTGTGTGGTCATACATACGTGTGTTTCTACGGGTTTGTCGGCTGTGAGGATGTCCGTTGGATTGTCTGCGTTGGAGGACTTTAGTGACGAGATGTCCCGGCTGTTGCTGCTGCCGTCCTCTTCGTTGTCAGAGTCAGAGTCTCGCAGTCTTTTCACCAGCGCTCCAGGAAGTGTGAATGTTGCCAAAGGCCAAATTCTCAAGTCTGCAAGTCATTTATGTCTGGCTGTTATGAGCAAGAAATATTTAGGCCATGTTGAAAATGTTAAAATAATAAATGAATTCTAACGTACGAAAAATGTACATGAGAAGCATCTCTCTCCTTTATTTCCCCTTCCACAAATAGTGATGATTGTATATTTTCTGTAACGTCCTATGAAGAGTTTTTTTTCTCAAAATGTTTTTTTTTAAACTAATTTTTATAAACTTTCAAAAAACGTTTTCCACATAGAATGGGGTGAAAAAATGCCGAAAACCCCAAAAAATAAAGATACCCGAAATATTTCAACATTTATTTTCTTTTTGAATGAAAACAGGCAAACCGTGAACATGCGTGGGGGCAACTGCTCCTCATAGCCCTCGTCTGGTCATACATACGTGTGTTTCTGCGGGTTTGCCGGCCGTGAGGATGTCCGTTGGATTGTCTGCATTGGAGGACTTTTCCGACGAAACATCTCGGCTGTTGCTGCCGCCGTCCTCTTCGTTGTCAGAGTCAGAGTCTCGCAGTCTTTTCACCAGCGCTCGCTCCAACATGTCTCTGTGCAACACATTCACGTCACAATGAGCAATGACGGAGCATCTCAAGTTGAGTCCAAATTGCGTGAGCCCCATTTTTGGGGGGGGTAAATATCTACTGTCATGTCCAATTACTTGGTCTCCCGCTCGTCTTCTTCTTTCTCACGCTCCCTTTCTCTCTTCTCCAGTTCTCGGTACTGGCCGAGCATCCCCTCAAAGTCTGTAACGTCCTATGAAGAGTTTTTTTTCTCAAAATGTTTTTTTTTAAACTAATTTTTATAAACTTTCAAAAAACGTTTTCCACAGTCCGTCTAGAATCACGCGCGGACCATTTTCAATGTCGCACGTCACCTTTGTCACATGGCCACGTTCCTGCTTGAACTCACCTTGAAGGTAATCTCCGCCAGGCACCGAGTACACTTGATGTAAAAGCGGAAGATGGGGAGTCCCATGTACAGTTGGTTCTGGACTGTCTCTTTACGTGCATTGAACTTCTTTCCCTTGTAGATGTACTCGCCGCAGGTTTTACACCTGTACGCAATCAATGAATTATTATCATATGGCAACAAGCATTTCATACAGGAGCCTAAGCAGATACATGTGCGCTAACATCGTCTCACTTTTGGCACATTACAAAAATCCCCTGTGAAAAAAAAACGATTTTTTAAAATGTGATGATTGTAATTGTAGGATGAATTTGAAAAGGTGAAGTGTTTTGGAATCAAAGTTTAGGGAACTATTGGGGATTCAACTCTTAAAATAGGCACTTCCATCCATTATTTGTGACTATTTGTTGATTGTGGTACACTTACCTCATGTTGAATGGTGCCATCAATCTGACCACATACTGTCGATCTTTGGGAAGTTTAAGTTTCGGGATTTTGGCCGGATCAAAGTCCGGAGGGTAATATTTCTGTAAATAAATACATAACACGCGTCAATACAACCTGCAAACACATTTGATTGAAGTAAATTGACCATTTAATGACGGGCCGATTCTCTCTCGCTCGGCTAGCTTGATAATCGTCACTGTTCATCACATCCGCACACTATAGCGATGAGTTATTAATTCTTCGTTCGGAATTTATACTTACATTCAATACTTTTCTTTCTGACATGCTTACAGTCGCTCCACAGACAAATTGAACAAGGACAACTCCCACTGTACTGAAGTAAATCTGTTACGTTTAAAATAAACTTCCGGTTCTTCTTCTTCTTCCTCACGCGTCAGGCCGGGTGGATGCATCTGTGTCGTTTTTCTGCCTCCTACAGGCCATTCTTCTCATTGCATTTTTTTCTTTATTCTTTTCTTTTTGTTACAATAATCCCCTGTGAAAAAAAACGATTTTTTTTTTTAATGTGATGATTGTAATTGTAGGATGAATTTGAAAAGGTGAAGTGTTTTGGAATCAAAGTTTAGGGAACTATTGGGGATTCAACTCTTAAAATAGGCACTTCCATCCATTATTTGTGACTATTTGTTGATTGTGGTACACTTACCTCATGTTGAATGGTGCCATCAATCTGACCACATACTGTCGATCTTTGGGAAGTTTAAGTTTCGGGATTTTGGCCGGATCAAAGTCCGGAGGGTAATATTTCTGTAAATAAATACATAACACGCGTCAATACAACCTGCAAACACATTTGATTGAAGTAAATTGACCATTTAATGACGGGCCGATTCTCTCTCGCTCGGCTAGCTTGATAATCGTCACTGTTCATCACATCCGCACACTATAGCGATGAGTTATTAATTCTTCGTTCGGAATTTATACTTACATTCAATACTTTTCTTTCTGACATGCTTACAGTCGCTCCACGGACAAATTGAACAAGGACAGCTCCCACTGAACTGAAGTAAATCTGTCACGTTTAAAATAAACCTCCGGTTCTTCTTCTTCTTCCTCACGCGTCAGGCCGGTGGTACACTTACCTCATGTTGAATGGTGCCATCAATCTGACCACATACTGTCGATCTTTGGGAAGTTTAAGTTTCGGGATTTTTGCCGGATCAAAGTCCGGAGGGTAATATTTCTGTCAATAAATACATAACACGCGTCAATACAACCTGCAAACACATTTGATTGAAGTAAATTGACCATTTAATGACGGGCCGATTCTCTCTCGCTCGGCTAGCTTGTTAATCGTCACTGTTCATCACATCCGCACATTATAGCGATGAGTTAGTTATTAATTCTTCGTTCGGAATTTATACTTACATTCAATACTTTTCTTTCTGACATGCTTACAGTCGCTCCACAGACAAATTGAACAAGGACAACTCCCACTGTACTGAAGTAAATCTGTTACGTTTAAAATAAACTTCCGGTTCTTCTTCTTCTTCCTCACGCGTCAGGCCGGGTGGACGCATCTGTGTCATTTTCTGCCTCCTACAGGCCATTCTTCTCATTGCATTTTTTCTTTTTTCTTTTCTTTTTCTTTTTAAATTCGGTTCCCTTTTTTACTTTAACAGACACACCTACGGACAATTTTGAGTCGCCAGTTAACCCAACGCACGATTCTGGATTTATGGGAGAAAGCACATGCAGCGGGACAAAGTAGTGTATGAGCATTCGCCTGTGATCGATAGTGAGAAAGCCCTTGAGACAGACGCTGTGGATTCAAAAGTAATTTTGAAAATCTTCCATTCGCCCTCACCTCTCCTCAAATGAAATACATTGACAACACTAAAAATAGATTTTAAAATATTGGAAACAAATATTGAAAAAAAAAACATGGTGAACCCGAGTGTATGAGCATTCGGCTGTGATCGATAGTGAGAAAGCCCTTGAAACAGACGCTATGGATTCAAAAGTAATTTTGAAAATCTTCCATTCGCCCTCACCTCTCCTCAAATGAAATACATTGACAACACTAAAAATAGATTTTAAAATATTGGAAACAAATATTGAAAAAAAAAACATGGTGAACCCTGAATCTAGTGAATAGGGAGTGATGACCAACACAGTGTGTGTGTGTGTGTGTGTGTGTGTGTGTGTGTGTGTATACACGACTACCTTTAGGTTATTCCAACAAGAGGAAATAGGATGGTGATTACAGATTTGTGTCAACATGTGTTAACCTGGCCTGCTTCCCCCTTCTATTGGTTTTATTGGACAGTGGTGAAATGCACTGATTGAATGCAATTCTTAAAAATAAGTGACCTGGGAAATATTAAAAGGTGGACAAAAATAATGTAAATTGATGAGAATAAAATTGAGTACAATTATGGTGAACCCCCTTCCCTCAATAATGTGATTGCGGTTTAATATGTGATTATATTTTACGGTCCTCTTCACATGTATTTTTTAACTCATGTAAAGCCTACGGTAATAAAAATTGTTGATTACATAAAAAAATTTTAAAAAAATGAATTGTTCATTCGTCATATTGTATTTTTACATGTATTGGTTATTGGTCCATCTTCTGATCAGATCAGCAATCGGTTATCATTAAAAAAAAATCCTGATCATGTAAAGCTTACGGTAATAAAAATTGTTGATTACATAAAAAAAAAAAAAAAATTTAAAAAATGAATTGTTCATTCGTCATATTGTATTTTTTAAATAAAACCTTTGCTCCGTGTGCCATGGATTCACCTGCAAAATAAAAGTTGCTCTGCAAAATTCAAACGTTGCTCCTCAAATGAAGCCATTCTTTCACAAAACTGTTCTCGACAGCAAAACAATTATTTCAAGCTTTGAAAAGTGGAAAGGCTACGTCTAATGGGCACCCATGACCATCCATAATTCCTTTGGCAAACCCTCGGTGATGAGGTTCACGAGGGTCATTTCCTCCATCAATATTTCAGACGCTCGCTGATGTCACAGCACCCTATAAAGAGCGGGAGTACACCTCCAAAGCCAACCTTCACTTGACATCAGCACCATGTTGAGCACCCGGGCCTTCCTCCACCTCTTCCTCCTCCTCGCCACCGCCGCCTTCCTGTTCACGTCGGCTACCGAGGACGCTTCGGTGGAGACGCGCTCGCTGGATTTCACGCTGAAAAGTCAACAGGAGAAAGATTTGGTGAGAGCGCCATGTGTGGGCGTTTGTGTGAAATAAGAGCTGGTTACACACAGTACAGTACTGCATATGTGATTTGATGGCTTTTATACAGATTGATGCTTTACAAGAAGTCCTGGAGAAGCTGAGGAACAAAGAGATGCCCTCTGAGAAAAAGCTGGGCTGGCTGCCCTCGGTAAGTCCAAACTTACCCTGTACTCCTGTCGCAGTTTTATTTGACTCACTTTAGTCCTTTGATGCTTTTATTGAGCATTTTTATTTTACTTCAAACTCATTCACTCCCATTGACGGCCATGGACATAAATGATCACTTTTACTGGGCTGTATATTATAGTCAAGTCAAGTTTATTTATACAGCCGTGAGTCCCAAATCCCAGCATGGAAAAACTTAAAACCCAATTTGGTGAGAAAAAAGAAGAAACCTTGATAAGGGACCACAGATGGGAGATGAAAGTTTCTGTCCAGATGTGCTGTTTCACCATTTGTGCTAAATTATGCATTGCTTAAAGGGCGCAACAAGGCAACACCAATGCTATTCGTGATCCTGTCTATGGTGTTTTGCATGATTGGTTAGCATTGAGCTAAATTGATTTTCTGGCACTACTGTATTTAGCATTTATTTACTTTTCATGTTATATTTAATTTTATTTTGCTGGTTTCTATTCCCGCTTCTTCATGGATTTTTGTTGTTGCTGTTTTTCTTTACTTGAAAAAAGAATCCGCGTTCCGTTAAATGCAAGTAGTCTTTTGGCCGAGTTGTATATTTTATGAAGGCAACTGTCAATTTAATTCACACAAAATGAACCTTTTTTTTTTTGTTCTTTCAGTGTGACGCAGGGGAGCCATGCGCTGTGCGTAAAGGCTCCCGAATTGGCACGCTGTGCAGCTGTCCGCGAGGGACTTCCTGTAACTTCTATGTCCTCAAGTGCTTGTGAAAGATAACAAATGATGCCGGGGTCCATTGCATTGGTCTGCATACTGTCCTGTTTCATGTGTTGTGACAATTCCAAGCGTCATATGAAAATGGCTCAACAGTTGTTTTCCTCAGGGGCAACTTCCTTGTTATTTTGGTGAGAATATCAAATATAAGATAAGTACATGTTGTGCCTTAAGTCATTGTTCTAAAAGAGAGGGGGGAAAATGGAATGTTTGTCCTTGGCGTTGATATGCGAGTGACTTTGGTTCATAATATTTGTGATTACAAAAACATTTGTAGTATTTTATCGGCACCCAAACGATACCACAGTACAAGAGCAAATATTAATCAGAGATGGCGTGCCCCTTCAAATATTTTTGAAGCAGAGACATTGTTTGCTTGCGCAAAAAGGATTTTACCATGCGATGTAATTTGTTGCTATGTGGTACCCGAAAAAAAAAATCCACCTGTTGCTGAACCTAACCCTTAATTCATAAATATTACAAAACGTATGACTAAATTGCATATTATATTACTGTTATCATATTATGCATTAGAGGGGAAAAAAGAGGGCAGATTCGGAATCAGTACATCAAACAGCATCTATGATTGAAAAAGAAAAGCATTTTCATTATATTGCTATATAAAAAAAACACATAAATGCACCACAACAATGACCAACATGCCAATAAAAATGTAGCATATACAGATTAAAAAAATACATGTTAAACTTTTTAGATTGATTGGTCTATAGTATGTTGCGTTAGCTAAATATATATAAAATTAAGAAAGCAACAATTACTACGACAGTATAAAATTATGATGTATCATTATTTATGTCCACGTTTTGATTCATTGAGATTTTAACTTATTTCAATTTTATTCTACTAAATTATTACGCAGCCATGTCTTCTTTTGTTTATTGAATTCTTACATATTTTCCCCCATTATTTTCTCCATAGGTAATAATAAAATGAGATCGTGACTATACTATTTATTATTTTCTTCGCGCGTTTCTGGGGGGGGGCAATTACGTCACTCGCGTCATCCAACATGGCGTCCAACAGCCGGTTGCAGGAGGAGGAAGGCTGAGGAAGAGGAAAAGGAGGAGGAGGAGGAGGAAGAGTGAGCGGGACGCCGCACCGATCCTCGCTGCTCGCCCTTGTCGGACAAAACCCATCCGCACAGGTACGTTTTCAATTCATATTTCTATGTTTTCCACAAATCTTAATCATGGAGGGAGACGCAAAGAAACAGGCTTGATGGTGACACCGGAGGATGGACTGCACGTCAGTAAATCATGTGGCCAGCATCCGACCCTACAGTCGCATTTTTGTCGGAATTACATAAAAATCATACATTACGATATCAAAGCAAAAGCCTCAATCGGTAATTGTGTGCGTGCGTTTATTCTGATAATCTGTTCAATCTGTACCCGATGCAGGCGACTGTCGAAATATGACCATCACGTTTCATAATATGATTTTGACACAATCTCTAATTCCACAGTGCAATGGTACCTTGAGAGACACGTTTAATTTGTTTCTCCTCTAATCATATTTCCCAAATTGAATGGAAATGTCACAAGAAGAGAAATATACAGTCGGGACTCAAGGAAATTCAAATGAAACCATTTTTCTCCATACTTTTTCCCTCATCTGTGGTGATCATTCTGAGGTGTGTGTCTTTGCCACCTGTTGACAGTACAAGACAGTCAAGAGAGTCGTACGGACACACTACACTGGAGCTAAAATAATATTCCTTTCTCAGCTTCTCAATGCGGGAATAATATGAGCCATTCTTCACAGAGGATAAAGAACATACCGCTGTGAATTATCGGCACAGATATTTGGGATTTTGACGCATGTCGACATTGACCTTTTTTAAAAAAAATCTGACGGCTGATTCAAAAATGTGTATAGTTGAGGGAACTATTTATTTAAATTTTCAGTTAAGTTTATATGTGATGCTATTGACCCAGGGAAGTCTGTACCTTTATTTTTATTTTATTTTTTTAATTAAAAAAGAAAAGTGAAAGTTAAGATTTTAGTTATTTAGAAATGTTGGAAAACTACTGTAAAAAAATGATAAGGAGCCATTTACTTGTTTAAGTTTTCATTGAATTATTTTAAGACATCCTGAAGACACTGAGAGCTGACTGGGCTTTTTGTTACAATTTTTGTCTCACATCATAAATACATACATATTTCTATTTTATTTTGTTATCCAGTGTTTCTGTCATTATATCATTAAATTAAATGTATATTTTCATCTTATTTTATCCATGAATCTGAACACCACTTGGCCAGATTTTTTTGTAATTCTTTTTAAAATATTTTCCGATATATATTATTTTCATATGTACTATTATCCATGTCTATATATATTTTTACATTATTTTATTTCATATATTCAGCTCTTTATGGTATGACATTTTAAATTTAATGCATCTGTTTTCATCCATCTCTGGGAGCGGCCATTTTGGCCTCATACCGCCCTCTGCTGTCAACTGAAATTGATATCGAACTGCCGTCAGGCTCGCATTGCAAACTTTGCAGGTCACCTGTTTTGGGGATTTGGTCTTGTGATGTCTATTTTGATGTTTGACATCAACCAGAGCATCATTAAATTGAAACGTTCACATTGCTTTGAGTGGCGCAAGTGTACCTAATGAAGTGACTGGTGAGCGGGAGCGAGGTTCTCTGCTGTCAAAAGGATTTTTTCAGCGACGCATCAACTTTTAATGAGGCCGACGTTTCAGCTTAAGTGCACACAACAAAGTGTTGTTGGCGATCGCAGGTATTTTGCTCCTGGGATGTCGACTCGAAGCCTGTCGGCCTGCGGCAATTCCCTTCTCATCACACGGCTTGGCAATAGTGCCCTGCCCTGCGCCAATCCCGAAAATAATTCGTGCCTTCCCAAAAAAGGGATTGGAATTGCGTATAAATGCCACAAGAAAGTAGCCAAGCCCGTGAAAAGTAACAAACTATCAACGCCTTCTAGCATGCACACAATCATGAGCGCATGTCACATAAACAATTGTAAAGTGGTGCCTTGAGTTACAAGTTTAATTTGAATTTCAACTTTTTTCTTCTGTTTGCAACTTTATTTCTGTAAGATGCTTTAACTTGTAAAATTACAGCCGATAAAAATTGCCCTTTTTTTGCTGACTTTTCGATCTGAGAAAAATGACACTTGCATTTTGGTGAAATGACAATTTTATCGTTGGAAGATGATGACTTCATTCTTGTATAACTGTGATTTTGTTGTTTTAATATTCCATTTTTTCTAATTTTGTGGCTGTGTTTTCATGATATTACTTTTTTAAATTTGGAAAATGACATCTTTTTTCTTGGAAAGTTGCGACTATTGTCAAATTCTGACTTCATTCTTGTAATAGTACATTTTTTTCTTTTCTTTGGAGCAGCATATGAAGGCTGAAATCCAAGTGGACAAAAAAAAAAAATCCAGTCCAACTTTCACATCCAATTTCATGGAGCAAATTTAGAATTTTGGTTGTAAATGTAGATCAGAGCTTCTGGTAGGGTTGAGGCCAGCAGGGAAGGTCTGAACTGCCCCGATGGCCCACCACAGCCTGTTGCCATAGTAACCCGCCCTCTTGGGAAGGAAGGAAGTCGAGTGAAGGGCAGCAACAAAGTGAAGTGAAAACAATAGAGACTCAAACCCATACATAAGCTTTTGGTGGATTTTTAAATCAAGGACAAAAGTATCAGGGCAACATAGAGGAAGTGAAAATGGGGCAAAAAAAAAAAAAAAACCTGGCATCCGGCGATTCCCATTTTCTGCAGCTGGTGGAGTTTTCTCAAATGAGGCCGCTAATCTACTACGACAGTAGTCTCTTGATAATGCCCCATACCGAAAATTAAGTCAGCTGGAGTTGGACTCGGGTGCAAAAAAAAAAAAAAAAAACTACTGTTTTGTTAAAAAATGGATTTGATGCATTGCTTTAGCGTTAAAGGAACTGGTCAGCTGCAAAGGTACGTTAGCATGCAGATTGATTCCCGCCTATTACACTGTTGAGTCACTTAATTTTTTTTTTTTTTTTTTTTTTTTTAATGACTTCACTCATGGCTCCCAATAAAGAACTGAGATTTTGTGGTTGGACAATTGTGCACACCTTGTTAACTTTAACCCGAACTGCGGACATGGACATGTGAAATGGAAGTCAACAAAACCTTATCCGGGACGTGAATGTGAGGACATTCATGTCCCGGATAAGGTTTTGTTGTTCTAGTAGGCTTTTTGGATATTAGCCTCCAAAAACCTGCCGCTTAAACGAGGGTGTGGCGACACTTAAGATGACTTACACGGTCCCTCTTATCCTTCAGTTTTCAGATGAAGACTACGCCCCCTCTTCCTCACCTTCCTCCTCGCATCCCCCGTCCAAATTCAGCCGAACGGTGAGCTGCCCCGGCAACAACAGCGTCACCAGGAGGAAGACCCTCCGGTCCGCCTCGGGAGTCGTCGCCCTTCACGCGGACACCTCCCCGAAATAAAAAGTGGTGGAATGGCGACCCTGAGCCCAGCGTCCCCCTTTGAACTCCTACCTCCACCCGCCACGGTGGGCTTCCTCAAGTTGTCCCGTCCGTGCTGCTACGCCTTCCCCGCAGGTCGCGGCGACTGCGCCTTCTTCGCCGTCAACGGCTTCACGGTCCTGCTGGACGGCGGCTCGGATCCGCGGGCTTGCTTCTGGAAGCTGGTGCGCCACCTGGACCGCGTGGACGCCTTGCTGCTGACCCACGCCGGCGCTGACAACCTGGGCGGCGTCAACAGTTTCCTGGAGAGGAAGGTGGCCGAGACGCAGTTAGACACGATGAGTGACGAGGGGTCTGCGAGGCTCATCTCACCGGAGCTTGGGGTGGTCTTCTTTAACGCTCCTGGAAGGTTACGGGTGGAACAGCGGCCCTCCGAGTTGAAGGTTTCCAATTGTGAGCGCACACTCAGAATGACAGTGAACAGAACCTACACATGAAAAATTGCTGGGTTGTTTTTCTGAACCACTCAGTGGGTAGCTGGGGATTTTTCCGCACTAAAAGGCGCACTGGATTATGAGGCGCACCTTCAATGAATGCCGTATTTTGTAATTTTTTTCATGTATTGGACGTAGCGCACTATAAGACGCAATCTACAATGCATCCACTAGATGGAGCTACGATGGAGGAAATGTCAACGCGCGCGTGAGCGCGAACACGAACACGTACGCACTGGTTCAACCAATCAGCGCCGACCAACTCACGATGAAGGAAATGTCAACGCACGTGAGCGCGAACACGTGCACTGGTTCAACCAATCAGCGCCGACCAACTCACGTCACAGATCAAAGAAGCTTTGAACAAACGACAACAGCTAAGCTAGCTTAGCTGTTGAGTGCCGTTGCTACAGAACGATCAAATGTCAGTCAAAATTATTTAATAAAGCAGCGACACAGTTCACTGAAGCAACAGCAAGTTATAACATTGACTCGTTGACGTTGAACTCTCTTGCCGCTGCTCTATTTCCGTCTTCAACTGCGCCACCGATCGCCTTAAGTTTGAACTCTGCGTTGTTAGCATGTCTTTAGCAAGGAGCCATTTGGGGGGGGTCGACATATTACCGTAATAACCATACACAAGGCGCATCTGATTTTAAGGCGCGCTGTGAGCGTTTAAGAAAATGGAAGGCTTTTAGGTGCGCCTTTTAGTGCGGAAAATACGGTACTTTGACCCACGCTTTGGCAGGTAGAAGACATTTAAGTTGTAAAGTCTAACGGAATTCTTTCAATCATCGTCTCATCAGGTGCGGACAACGTCATGAAGAATCTAAACCAGGCAGCTGTCACTCTACGCCTGTTGAAGGAGTTAGACATCCAACCTCATCCCATGTTTCGACCACCGGTGGCCCCTCCGGAGCCCATCACCTTGTTCCAAAAATTGGGCGTGGGACAGCTGGACTTGTACATCCTCACTCCAGCCAAAAACAGCCACGAGTACCAGACGTTCATGCGGGACTGGCCCGACGGGGCGTCCCCCCAAGGGCTCCCCCTCGCCGCCCTCGCCTCGGTGTCCGCCCTCCTCGTGTGGCACCCGGCTTGCCCCCTCGAGAAGGTGGTCCGGGTGCTGTTTCCGGGCATTACTCCGCAGTCCAAACTGCTGCGGGGCCTGGAGACGCTCAAGAGCTTGGCCTTCCTAAGGAAACCCACGGTGACCACCGGGGACCTGGAAAGGATGGGCTTTAGAGGGAAAACTAAACGGACAGAGAGTCAGGACAGTGTCCGTTCCCAAGGGAAGGAGGTGGCCAACAAACCAGGAAAAGAGGCTAAGAACACGGGGAAACTATTGGTCACAGAAAAGAACGGCTCCAAGAAAGCGAGTGGGAAGGAGGCTAAAAAGAATGCAAAGCAGGGCGGCAAGGGAGAACATGTCGTCCTGAGGAACGGCGTGGGGAGGAAGGAGACCCTCACGTCCAGACCAAAGAATAACAACAAAACGCTCAAAAACGACTCCAAAACGGATTCCAAAAAGATAAAGAAGACATCCGGAAAGGAGGGCAAGAACGCACACATCCAGACCGAACTTAGCAACTCCAGACCGGACAACGAGGCCACAGTAGACGAGTCAAAACCGAAGGAGAAAGAGCCCCGCGGTGCCTCCAAAACATCAACCCCTGAGGATATGACTCCTGATTTCCTCCGACTTCGGGAGGAAACGGAAAGAGAAGAGGCGGATACGGCGGATGAGAGGAAAAAGAAAGGTGACGGCCAAGGGAAGGGGGCCGCAGAAAGTCCCGGAGAAGGTGCAAATCCGCAGGACGCTAAGACCGCAGACCAGCTCGGAGTTGCGAAGAAACCAGCAAAAGTGGTCGGATTCCCGACCCCGTTGAAGCAGGCGCCAAAGAACGAGCCGAACATCGAGTTTGACTTGACCCCGACCGAGTACACCCTCCTGGACGGTGCTTTGAGAACCAGCCCGCCCTCGCGATCGTCCTCGGATAACCAGGCCACCTCTGAGGAGAGGACCGTCGAGCAGAGTTCCCCGGATTCCCGGCCCAACAGCGCCGGCCACACTCCTTATTGTCTGTCTCCGGATGACAAGTGGTGCAACAGAGACGCCCTCGGCAGGCTGCAGGCGCAACGAGCGGCAGAAGTCGCCCAACCCAATGTTTCAACCAAGCCGGCCCAACCCATCCCCAGAGAGAAACACCTGACTTTCCTCTCTCTGGGGCCCTTGAAGGACGGGGCCTCCGACCCGTCCGCCTCCGTGGCCAACACCACCACCTCCACCCACTCCATGCCGGCGGAGGTGAGCTCGCCTCAGTCCACCGAAGTGGACGAGTCGCTGTCCATGTCTTTGGAGCACGGCCCCGCCTCGGGAAGTCAGCGGGAGGCGGATGACGGCGGCCATCATCCCAACGGTGGTCATTTTGCCGCCATGTCCAAGAAGCCTCTCAGGTCTTTGGCGTCGGAAGCGGGGCGGCCTCCGGTTCCGGGCGCCTTGCATTTTGAGACAACGGCTCACGACGTGGACCTGTGTCTGGTTTCCCCTTGCGAGTTTCAGCATTTCAAAGCGCCAGACTCCGGCTCAGGCGACAACGTCCACAAGGACGCCGCCAAGGACGTGACACCGGGCGAATCAAACGCCCCCGTCTGCACGGAGGAGTGTCCGTCCACCACGGCCGACGGAGTCCTGGACTCGGACGAGGAGGAGTCGTGCGGCATTCCCACAAACCTGGACGCCTGTCAGGCCTTACCCCGGGACCCGCTTCCCGCCCGGCTCAGGGATAGCCCGCCTCTGCCTCCGCATCCCGACACCACCATGCCCGTCCCGCAGTCTGACGCCGGTGCTCCTGGCAAGAAAGTAAAAACGAGTGCCGTGCGAGGGAAAACGCCCGGGGTGAGTGAACACCAATTCTTCACAGTAAACGGCTCCGCAGCATTGTTGTAAAATGTTTGGAATATTTTCTACATTAGTTGAAACATCGATTTTTTTTTTTTTTTAAATTAAAAAAATAGCTGAAAATTTGTTTTTTTTTAAAAATGGTACAAAATAGTATGCAGAACCCCATGTTTGTTATCTCCAAATTCTTCTTCTAAATTTTTTTAACCCTTTCAGTGACGGCGGTAACTCCAGTGGACAGCTTTTTTTTTTTTTAATGTTCTTTATGTGTAAACTTATACAATCTTTTCAAAAAATCGACTTACCAACTACTATATTTTTTTTAATCATTGGTGTATTTATTTTTTTTTTTTGTATTATTTTCTGATAATGATTGAACAGCAAACAACAGGTCAGGCCGGACACCCGAGTAACTCCGAAATTGAATTTGTTCTTAGGTGACGGACTCCACCCTGAAGCCGAGCCCGGGCAAAATCCAGGCAGGAAGCGTCATCACAAAGGCTAAAAAGGACGCGACGTCGTCACGTGCGTCCAACACTCGCCTGGCAAAATCGGCGCCGTCAGAGTGCCCCTCCTCCACCGAGGACGCGAGCATCTTCGTGGACCTGGCCTACGTCCCCTCCGGGGCGGCGTCGCCCACCGTGGGCGTGGACTTCTTCAAAAGCGTCCGCTCATCCTGTTACGTCGTCAGCGGCGACTGCCCCGAGAGAGAGAAGCTCATGCGGCAAACGCTGGACGCGCTGCTCCACGCCAAGACGGGCTGGGAGCACGCCACGCAGGTCAGAACGCCGACATGTTGCGCGTCATGCAAGTAGTGTCGGAAAGTTCCATGGACTGCCACTTCCAAACAAATTAGTAACATTTTTTTTTTTACATATTTTCATTTCCTTAAATTGGTTGAATAATTGTACAGAAATGACTAACAATAACATTTTTATGATTGAAATAAACAACTTTTCACATTGTACGTAGTAAGACAATGTTTGTTTTCTCATTCAATAATTGATGGCTCAATTACAAAAAAAAAAAAAAAAAAAAAAAAGAATGACAATGCAATTTCAACATTTCTGCTCTTGCGCTCGCGCAGGTGACGCTGATCCCCACCTTTGAGTCGCCGGCCATGCAGGACTGGTACCAGCAGACGGTCGAGCGTCAGAGAGAGCTGGGCGTGCTGGTCCTGGGCTCCAACAGCACCGTGGCCATGCAGGACGACACCTTCCCGGCCTGCAAGATTGAGTTCTGAACAACCACTGCTCCGGCGAGAGCCACTGTATTTGGCTCCGGCCTTCCTGTGTAGAGTTTGCACGCCCCCCCCCCTCCGCCGTGCCTGCATGGGTTTTCTCCGGGTACTCCGGTTTCCTCCCACGTTCCAAAAACATGCATGGCAGGCTGATTGAACACTCAAAATTGTCCCTCGGTGTGATTGTGAGCGCGAATGGTCGTTCGTCACTATGCGCTGCGATTGGCTGGCAACCGGTTCAGGGTGTCCCCCGCCTACTGCCCGAAGACAGCTGGGATGGGCTCCGGCATGCCCGCGACCTTTGTGAGGATAAGTGGATTAGAAAATGGCTGGACAGAGAGCGTTTCATCCGCATCGTCAGGGATTAGAGAAACGAACCCAACCCATTCCAGGCTGCTATTGTGATTGTAATCCGTTGATACTGTCGCTGCTTAAATGGGATTGTAACGCAAGAGAACATTGCTTGTTGTTGTTGCCCGTGTCATGATTGTCACATAGATTAGAGTTCTATTTTGTCAGGCCCGGCCGATTTAATCATCTGATATAATTATTAGCTCTTTAAAAAAAAAAAAAATCTGACGATTTGTTGTTGATTTATGAATATTTTTAGTTTGTAACACTATACAAATGGAACAATGACTTTCAACCTTCTTACCCCCAAAAAAGTTTTTTTTGTTGCTGATTTCTCTTTCTGTTGTTAACTGTAAAGGACAAAGTACTACGAACCAGTCCAATGTTCTGCCTGTAATGCCAATCTTTATTTTATTTTTTTTACCTTTGAGGGATAAAAAAAAAAGTTATTTTCCTTCATTATATTTTGATTAATCAGCTGATTAATCCATTATTGGAATTTCTTTTTTAGGCAGATATAGCAGAATCTGCCTTAAAACAAAAAAATCTGTATTTGCCGGGCCGTAATATTTTGCGCATCATACAGAGTGACGATGACTTTATGTAAATCAAATAAATAATATTTGCCCTGAAAAGAAAGTGTAAAGGTGTCATTCGGGGCGTGAACGACAACGTGAGTTTGGAAGCATTTCCCTGACAGGAAACAAGATCAGTTAGCTGTACTTTTAATTCAGTACAACATTTAAAAATATTTCCTAAGTGACATCTGCCCTCACAACTACAATAATGCGCACATTTTAATCAATAGCATTGGATTCTGATTTGAAGTTTTTACTTAATATTTAGAAGGATGTTTTTTTTTTTTTTGGGTTATCGATTTTTTTCTGCATGTAAGTATTTCTACAAGTTTTTGTTTATTTATTTGTGCTCCAAAGATGATGGCTTTCATTTTAACAATTCCGTTCTATATTTTTTTTTCTACAGCAGAAAAGGATTCTTTGTTTTTACACTTTTTTTTACGGATGTTTTCTTAGAAATAAAAACAAATTATATTCGTCCGGTTTTCATTCCAGTCAATAGACTGAACTGAAACATTCCAAACAGGTTCTTGTTGCAGAAATCTGAGCTGGACTGTTTTCTCCTTTTGCACGTCAGTTTGCTGTGCGTGCCACGAGAGGTCACAGACGTACGTTTGTTTAGCCAACACAATCAAACGGTGACGTTATTAAAAAAAAAAAAAGACTCAAAGAGTCATCAAGTTGTTGCACAAACGTCGTCACATTCAAAAAAGCGGAAAACACTTATTGTGACGTCAGCTGACCTCACCGTGACAACACAAGAAGGAAAAAAAAATCAAAGCAACGACGCAAGCTAAAGAAACGGCTCAGCCAATCAAAACGCAGCACAGGTTTCGGTAACCAACCCCCCCACCCCTTCTCCCGAAAAAAAAAGTATTGCGACATTTGCGGCCACCGAACAAGCAGCAAGTGCGCACTCACGCGTTTGTTTTCCCCTGCAAGCATGAGTCCGGAGGGGAGCTTGACTTCCAGCGTCACCGAGAACAGGTGAGCCCCCAAGCCGACTTGCGCTCGCTCTCGTCGGCTTCAAGTCTCGTGGAGAAGTCGGTGGAAGAGCGGAGCGCGTGGAAGAGGGGATGACATTTTTTTTTTCCAGTTTTAGTTTTCGAACTATTGACTACTATTAACTTTCTGAACGTTTTAAAAGTATTACTTCATTTTTAGTAGTTTCTAATATTTTTATTACCTAACCTGATTGCCTGCGAGAAGTCACATGACCCGAAGCAAGGGTGGCCAACCGACGGCCCAGGGGCCATTGGCGTCCATTGTGCTGCGCTACACAATTAGCATGTTTATGTCGTGTATTTTCCTCACAATACAAATAGCAAACAGATATTTGTGGGACCCCCCTACTAAGGATGCATTTTTAGCAAACTAGTGTTTTCGCATGATGCATTTTCCTGCACAGTACAGAGCTAACCTTTGTTATGGTTTATGGTCACCAACATTTGACGCATTTTGTTGCACAATGCAGATGGATCGTGCATTTTGCTTCCCAGTGCAAAGAGCTACCCAGCATGTGTTTATGGTCACCCACATAAGACATATTTTGCTGCACAATCCAAATGTATCGCATGTGTTTATGGTCCCCCGCCTTAGATTTATGCAAAGAGGTAACATGTTTATGGTCCACCTCACGTTGATGCATTTTGTGTTTCATTGGAAAGAGATATCGAAGTGATATTTATGGCCCCCCCATCAAGAAAGCATTTTCAGCAACCTACTGTTTTTGGTCCCCTTCCCAATTTGCATTTTTGCAAAACAGTACAGAGTGATCACACGTCTCTGGTCCCTTTCCTTGGGATGTACTTTGCTGCATAATCCCAAGAGCTAAGGTGTTTATGGTCACCCTGCTTGAATTTTTTGCGGCTCAGCGCCAATGAGCTAGCAGGTGTTAATGGTCCCCTTCCTTAGATGCATTTTGTAGCATAATGCAACAGGCTAACATGTTGATGCATTTTGCATCTTATTGGAAAGCGCTGACAGTGCCGCACAATCTAATGAGCCAACGGGTCTTTGTGGTCCCTCTCCTGTGGATGCATTTGTTTTTTTGCATCCCAAAGTGCAAAATGGTGTTGCTTGCAAAACTGTGAACCAGTGTTTATGGTCCCCTTTCAGGATGCAGTCGGTAGGCGTGGCGCTGGAGGAGCTGCTGGTGACGGCTCAGAAACAAGAGTGCCTGACCGTCGGCATCTACGAGTCCGCTCAGTTTCTCAACACGTGAGTTGAGCTCGTCCGCTTACATAACTCCGGAAAATGTACCACATATATATATATATATATATATATATATATTGTTTATGGTCCCCTTTCAGGATGCAGTCGGTAGGCGTGGCGCTGGAGGAGCTGCTGGTGACGGCTCAGAAACAAGAGTGCCTGACCGTCGGCATCTACGAGTCCGCTCAGTTTCTCAACACGTGAGTTGAGCTCGTCCGCTTACATAACTCCGGAAAATGTACCACATATATATATATATATATATA